ACATAAAAAATAGGGTCACTTTAAGCAAGCTGCTGAAATTGTTAACATTATGAAAGCGAAGGCCTGAGGAAAGACCCCTTTCTCGTTCTAACTAGCCTAGGAACTTAAATTTTTTTTTAACATTCCAGTCTTGCGTCAACGCTTGGATATGCATCTGGACCTCCAGATAACACTCTAATTAGCCCCTAATGGACTCATGTATGCATTCACCTGATATCTATTATCCAGACCATTGAACGTGATCAGACCTCCTGGTGCCCATTTCCTAGACCACCTGGCATCTATCATCCTGTCTGCCCTCTGACCCATAACTGTCCTGGACCAATCCTAGGGCTAAGAATACAGGACTGGTAATTCTCACGAATGTGCTTTTTTCTATAAGAATTTTTAATGATTCTCTCTTCTTTGGAACACTTTTGGGTTTGTGCCCAGCTGTGTTCCCAGTGTGCAAACTCTCAGACCCTTGAATACATCTCTATCATTTATTTCTAGCAAAGCCTCCAGACTCTTTTTGATTTTGTTTGACAACTCATTTTAATGATGCAGAATAATCCATCAAGTGGATAGTCTGAACTTTATTCATTGATTTTTGAACATAATTCAGATGGTTTTTTTTTCTCCCCACTTTAAATAATACTTCATCTCCTGAGAATCTCTAGACACAAACTTTCCTTTATACTTAGGATAACTTCCAAATAGATTTCCAGAACTGGCACAACTTGGTGATAGGGTGTCAGCATTTTAAAAGTCTTTGACGCATGAGGCCATGCTACTTTTCAAAAGTTTTAACCAATTTACACTTTCACTAGCAGCACATAAAAAGCCTTGTTTCACTCCACTCTGGAGACTATTTTCAGGGGCTATTTTCAAATAAGTGGAACAGAAAGCGTATTCATTATGCGACACATATTATTGAGCACCAGTGATGTGCAAGCAGCTGTCCTATGCCCTGAAGTTACAGCAGGGTGCAAGACAAAATGCTTGCCTTCATAGACTTTACATTCTATGTGAAACCAAATCATAAAACCTGTGTTTTTCAATGTGTGAGTATAAATAGATGTAATACGAATCAAAAATTCTGGAGCCAAATACACTTGGAAAACTCTAGACTCTTTATCGCATTGATAAGTAATTATAAGTACATTGTACAATTGCAAAGAAGCAGGGCGATGCCTTCGATTTCATTTGCATTTATCCCCATCCCACTCCAGCCCATTTTGCCAAAATAGTAGTTGTGGCTGAGTTTTAGGGTCCACTCAGTGGTTGCACATATATGGTTTCATTTTTATTTTGAGTCTCAGGATAACTCGAAGATGTACATAGTTTGGCACTCCCCTATTTTATAGGTGGTGAAACTTCTCAGATCTCATGAAGTAGCTCATCTAGGAAATGGCAGTTCTGGGTCTCAGGATGAATTTCTGGGTATAGAATTTTGGTGCCAGCAGACGCTGCTTACATCTCGGTGATTTGGACAATCGGAGGAATGCAGAAGAAGCCTGATGCCTCTGTAATCAAACCTCCTTTCATCTGCTCTGGGATTCCTGGGCACCTGCAGAAATGTCACTGCAGGCCGGGCACTGCAATGACAAACTGGGGCTTTAGATGCAAAGTCTCACGGAGACCAGCTGGCAGCAGTTTCCCAGTGGTGTGACTCCAACCCCTCCTCTCCACGTATACCTTCTGCTATGCAAGAATAGAGAATCTGGAAAGGAGAAAAGAATTTTGTCCCATAGAAGAAGGGGAAAGACTTAGTACTCTGCTTTTATAGCATTTTCCACCTGTATAAACTTAACTTGTTTAAAAATTAGTTATTTTAACAGCTGAGACCCATGGAGTCAAAGGAACTTGCCCGAGGCCACAGGCCAGGGCTATAGTGATAGCAAAACCCAGACACTGAACCTCGACTTTTTTCTTTTATGCTGGCTTTCAATTCTAAACAAATATTTCTCACTGTTTTATTTTCTCTACTAAGGCACCATATGCCGGCATGGAAAACAACAAAGTGGTATCATGAGGCCCTCAATTGCATAAGCTTTAAAAGGTGAAGTGATTTTTCCCTTTGACCCAAAAAGAACCTCTCTAAAACTCAGACATCTGGATGAAGGTTAATGTGCAAAATGTTCACCACATTCACTTTAAAACAGCAAAAAACTGGTAACCAATGACAGGATAAGAAAATGGTTTTAAAAACGGCACATCGTGCCACCGTTACAATGAGATTTGCAAAAAGCATTTAATGACATAGAAAAATATTTAATGACACCGAAGAAAAAACTACCAATTACATTCTGTATTTTTCTGCAATGAGCATGTGTCAGAAAAAAAGGAGGCTGCCACGAACCTTTCATTGAACTACTGTGCCCCATAAAGGAGAGACCCGTTCGCTCTAGTTTCTGATAACACTCAGCTTCTGACACAAAGGCCAATTGCTTTCAATTGACGAGTGGCATGAAAAAAATCAGGCTCCTAAATTGGACCAGTGGACCTCCAAGTTTCCTTCTCAAGACTGGCTTTGACGAGGACTCCACCAGCCTGGAGGATATTTTATTTTATTTTTTTTTAAATTAAATTTATAGCAATAACATTGGTTCATAACATCACAGAAATTTCAGGTGTACGACATTATAATACAACATCTGTATGGTCTATTATGTGCTCACCACCCAAAGTCCATTTCTTTGCATCCCCATGTATTTGACCCCCTTGACCCTCTTTATCTCCCACCCACCTTCCCTCTGATAACTACCGTTCTGTTGTCTGTATCTCTGAGTTTTTTGTTTTGTATGTTCGTTTGCTGCCTTCTGTTTTATATCCCACATGAGTGAAATCATGATTCTTGTCCTTTTCTGTCTGACTTATTTCACTTAGCCAATTACTCTTTTAAGATGCAACCATGTTGTCGCAAAGAGCAATATTTCATCTTTTCATGGTTGAGTAGTATTCCATCGTATATGTGTGCCCCAGCTTCTTTATCTAATCATCCATGGAAGGACACTGAGGTTGTTTCCATGTCTTGGCTATTGTAAATAATGCCGCAATGAACATAAGAATGTATATATCTTTATGAATAAGTGTTTTCAAAAGTTTCAGGTAGATACCCAGAAGAGGGATTGCTGGGTATATGGCAGCTCTAGTCTTAATTTTTTGAGGAACCTCCATACTGTTTTCCATAGTGTGCTCATGTTCCCTCTTCCTGGAGGACATTATTTTTTTTTTTAGCTTTGCAGCATGCATGCCGTGAATGGTACCTTCAGGGCAAAGGGTATAGTAATAAGATTTTTCCTACACTTTTTGTTACCCCGAATAATGCTTGCATTATTCATATATTTATTTCAGAGCGAGTTCTGCATAAATCGTCTGTTCTTTTCTCCTTCAAGCTGATTTTGAGAACTGTTCATGGATACTTTATAGCAGGCCAGAGCCACTTGGTGTCCCATGCCACAGGCTGACAGGCCCGATTTAAAATTGCTTAGTAGCTTATTCTTCCATTTAACAAGAACAAGGAAGTGGCTTGGGCTACTTTCCACACAGGTGTTTGTGGCCCGTCCCTGCCACTCGGCAGAGGCCCCTGGGTTGGATAAGTGAATAAGCTTTGAACGAAAAAAAGTGTTAACGAAGGTGGACAATGGGACTACATGATGTTAAACTTTTTTTTTTTCTATTAGAGGTCTTTTATTTTATTTTTTTTCAAACCTATCATGCCGTGAATTCATAGGGAATGGGCTCCAGCAGCTCAGGTTCCTTTCCATTCGTTCTCACAAAGTGAGCTGC